AAGAAGAAGAAGAAGAAGAAGAAGAAGAAGAAGAAGAAGAAGAAGAAGAAGAATCCCCACCCCCTCCCCCTTACTACCTGTGTTTCATCCATTTCTTCTCATCTCCAGGAGGGCAGGACTGTCCTTGCAGGTGGTCGAGACGGCACGTTTAGGCCTAACAAGGCTTTGAACGGGACCAACAGACGGACTTACTACAGGACTCCCAGTGCCTTCTTCTCGGACGGGGAGGTAGAAACTGTCTTGTCTGTCTGTCTGTCTGTTTGTCTGTTTGTGGCGTCGGTGGCCTAGTAGTGGTTAGGCTACCGGACTTGTAATCGTGAGGTTTCGTGGGTTCGGGGGTTCGAGACACGACCCGACGTTGAGTCCTTGGGAAAGGCACTTTACACAAATGTTCCTCACTTCACCCAGGTGGGAATGGGTACCCAGCCATAGATAGCAAAAGATCTTGTTAGTATGTTGTTTCAGCGCCTATAAATGTGAGGCAGCATGGTGGAATCAGGCTTTCGTCAAAATAATCAAAGTGTAGAAACTTGTATTTTTTTTTGCAGGTTTGTGAATTTTTATAAAATTTTAGTTTTTTGGCTCAACACCTTTCATGCCCATTACAGAACTCAATTCGGTGTGGATTTTTCTGAAAAACGGTGATTAAAGGTACAATAAATGTAAACTTTCAGTTGCCACAGACTCTAAAGCTGAGGAAATAACTAATTTTTGCCGCCCTTTTTCTCACTAATTTTACCTTTGAAAACAGGTGACCCCCACCTCTTTCTTTCGCAAATACTTCGACTTGTATTCAAGATGAATGAATATTTTTTTTCATACAACTAAACAAATACAAGTGAACTACCTTTAAGATTATACCAATAACTCTACTTGCCCAAAAATTTACGAAAGCCTGATTCCACCACGCTGCCTCACAAATAGCTGCTTGCACTGTAGTATGATTCCCCGTAAGTTGAGGCTGTTTCAGAATGCTCTCAGGTCTACTGGGGTAATAGTATAGATTGTGGAGCGCATAGAGCTGGCTGTTGAGTGGGGATTTGCGCTATACAAATGCTATCTATTATTTGTTCTATCTGTACGTCTGTCTGTCCGTCTATCTATCCATTTACCTACCTCCCGATCGAACAATCGATCTGTCTAATTTTCTTCTGACTGTCTGTCTGTCTTTTTGTATTTATTGTTTGTTATCTATCTATCTATCTATCTATCTATCTATCTATCTATCTATCTATCTATCTATCTGCATTGCTGGCTCTCCTACCGCACCCCAAAACAAAATGAGTCACGATGTGGTGGAATCAGTCACTCCTCGATTTTTGGGCATGTGAAGTTATTGGCACCATCTGAAATCTTGTTCATTTACCCTGCTTTCGATTAAGTAAACGCTTATCTGTCTTGAGAAGAAGTCGAGATATTTGAGATTGAAGGAGGTGGGGGTCACCTGGTGTCAGAGTAAAATTAGCAACTGAAAGTTTGGTAACTTTACCAATTTAAGAGTTCTTTTTTATAACTGGAAATTTACATAAAAAATATTGTACTCCTTCAATGAAACGTTTTTTAAAAACATTTCACAGGTAAATGTTTTTTTTTTATATAGACATAAAAAGCGTTAAACCAAAAAACTATATTTCGATTTTTTAAAATGCCGAACTGGAGAAAAAATGCCTGTTTCTTCGATTTCATTATTTTGACCAGCACTTGATTTCGCCAAGATACCTCACACATTGTACGTCGATAATTGTCCTGCAGTAAACTAGAGAATGTAAAGATGATGATCAGTGTTCTTTGTTGTTATTTAATCTGTCAGTCTATGACCTGTTGGTATTATTCTGTTACATTGTCATGAGGGTTGGTGATGGAAGTTGATACCACATAACCCTCAAAATCCCTTTCTGTTTAGAATTAAATAGGAACATTTTGGGTAATTGCTAGTTTTCTTACAAACGAGAAAAGAAAAACTGAAATCGGTGATTATATTTCGCACTCCACTGAATATAATACATGCATAAATGTTGGAAATACCCCCTTACACATTCGTAAGACATTTACTGTGACCTACAATGACTATGTCGCTCTCTTTCTCTCTCACTCTTTATGTTTAGCTTTCTTTCAATCCCTTTCTGTATGTCTGTCACCATTTCTTTCTTCTCTTTCTTTTTTCCGTTCCCTCTTACTCCCTCTCTCTCAACCCTCTCTCCCCCTGCCATCTCCACTCCCTCTCCCTCTTTGTCCCT